GAGAAGGGGAAAGGAGAGGGAGAGTATGGAGAAGCATAATAATATCAAGACTAACAGGAAAAACGAACAACACTAAGGCAAGAAAGACAGTAAAACACGCACACACATACATACAAACACACACACACACACACACGCACACACACACACACACACACACACACACACACACATACACACAAATCCAAACACACAATAGTATGTGGGGAAAACCACACAAGACCAACTAACAACAAGAAGACAGCCTCCTCTTACACCGCCACCTTAATGAATCGGCACAAAATCTCGCCAAAATCTGGCACCTACTCAAAATGTTCTGGGTGTGATTAGGTTGCCAGTTTGCGCTCCACAAACACAGTGTCACGTCACGACCCCGATAAAGACAGACGTACATGATTGAATAGGCAGACAGACTGACAGGCACACACAGAAACAAACTGACAGAAATGAAAACAGACAGCCAGTTTCGTTTTAGTAGAGGTTTTACGGCGCTCGCAACTGCATAAGGTCAAATGAACGCCAGAAGATGTTACAGGAGAGTAACAAACATAAAAAAGAAGGGGAGATAAGGACGATAGATGTTTGATAGGTAAGAAGAAGCAGACCACACCAGAGCACCCGCCAACCACCCGCGCAGCCAGACATGACAGACAGACATACAGACAATGCCCACATAGATCCACAGCATTGGAATTACGTGGGTGGTTGACGGGTGCTCTGGAATGGTTTGCTTCTTCTTTCCCATTAAAAATCTATCGTCTGTATCTCCCCTCCTTCTTTTTTGTGTTTGTTACTCTCTTGTAACACCTCTAATCTTCGGCACTTATATGATCTTATAGTGTTGCAAGTGCCGTAAAACACTTACTAAAACTATTTTAAAAATTTAAATCACATGTAGAGTTGAACCTGTTTTTGACGGCTACCTATGAGACAATCACATGTAGTAGGGCTACAAACGACACCATGTTCCATTTCCTCTCTTGCGTATATTATTTACATCATGATGACACTATCGGCTTGATTTTTATCACCTAACCCCCCCCCCCCCTCAAAGACAAAACAATGTAACAAAGACTATCCCAGTCGACAGGAGTCTCAAATTTAATATCACTTTTAAAAAATTCTATACAGTAGAACATGACTATAGCGAGACTTTTAGATCCAGAAGAAAAATCCTCTTAGGCAAGTTCCCGCTATAGGAATGCAAAGGGGAATTACCGACAAATTTCTAAAAATCCACATGATGGCATCCCTTCCCTATCAATAAAATTTGCACTTTAGCTCAGTCTTCCTTTTCTTGTAAACTTCGTTATTATCTTGGCCCTTAATTCGAGTGAGAGGCATTTCCTTTTTTGACTTTGTTGGAACCCATCTTTTCCTGTCTTGTTACTGTTGCTTGAGTGCCGTCTATCGTACCAGTGGGCCTACTGCAGAACTGGTGAAGTGGATGTGTGCGTATGCTTGAGCATCAATGATTGCAATTAAATGAATCAGAAATCACACACTACACGCTCTCCTATTCTTTCACTTTTTGGCCTAGCCTAGGCCTATGGCACATCACTTTTGGAGTGGCTCACGTAACACGTCTCTATACAGTCTCTCTCTGCCGCCTGCCCCCACCTCACTCATCACTGGATTGGCCAATTCAATTATAACGCCACGCCGCACTGCTGACTGCCAATCTGGAGCCCGCCTACAGCCCCCCCCCCCTTAGAGCTCGCTCAATCTCTCCCGTTGTATCCAAGTTGGGCCTTTCCTTGTCCTGATAAACCCAAGCACAGGTTGGTAATTGAGTTTACATATAGAAAGAGGGGGATTTCGGTAAGCTCCTGCAGTAGGGATGGTCCCACTGCACTGATGCTACTATACTATACTATTAGTCATGTTCCACTATACTTTTCTCATAATTACTTTACCTTCAAGCGACGGATTAATTCATCTTTTCCAACATCCTCAGCTAACTCCTTGCACCCTGGAGGGTACGTCAGCTTAACATGTGAAGAACTCTTGGACATGTTGACAGGTTGTCCTCAAAGTCAGAACAAGACCTAGATTTAAAGGAGACAGAAAATGTATTTCTTAATATAATTATAAAATAATAGGACTATGAACTTTACCACAAGTGGTACAACCAATTCATAACCAACAATCAACTCCATATTGTATACCTAGCTTTTTGCTTATTCTCAGTGGTGACACACTCTCATCGTCCACAACATACAATACTATGAGCAAAGCAGAACAGACACTTGAAAAATTTTTAATCAGTCAGTTGTGATCACAATATATGTTTTTAGATTCCTATTTAAGGGTGAAAAGTTCAACACACTGTCTCAAAAATAGGGCCACACTTCAAAAATAAAAGATGGAAATAACAGTACTCGTAACAGATCAAAAGATCCTAGAGCTAAACACAGTTGTAAAAAAAGAGCATTCCTGCATTCCTTTAAAAAAATTTGTTTTGTCTTTCCACCCTTCTGGGTTACACTGAGTAACAGAGAAGGACAAGACAAGCGACCAGCATTCTTATAGTATAGATATAGAAGGAAAGAAGTGATCTAACACTCTTTTTCCACTAAAAATGCTGTTTGCACGAGCATCAAAATCAGAATAGCAAAGAGAGGCCATGTTCATAAAACTGATGCAGAAATGGGTACATAATGTAAGAAGAGCAAGAAAGGTGGTTACTGTGAAATAAAAAGAAGAGATAAAATAGGTTCAGGGCCGGATTTCTAGAGCTGGGATCAAAGATGAAGTTTCAAAATTATAGATCTAGAAGAAAAATTCATTTGAAGGAATTTATTTTTTTTAAACAAAAATACTATCATATGGAGAATAGCCAGAATTAAAAAGAATAAAAATTCTAAGTAATCATTGTAGAGTTCCAAGTGAAATACCATAATGTGGATGAATTGACACAAAACCAAAATAGATGATATTCTTATTCATTATTTTATATTTTAAAAACAGCCTATATATATATATCAGTCACCCAAGTCACTGTTGCAAGAACAGAAAGTTACATTTATTATTTTGTAAATGCACCCCC